CAATTCCTCTCTGTGACCAACACATAAACAGCCCTCCTCTGCAGATTAGTATCTAATACCAAGTGTACACAACAGACTTCCACCAAGAAGACCTACGATCAATTCCTCTCTGCGACCAACACATAAACACCCCTCCTCTGCAGATTAGTATCTAGTACGAAGTGGACACAACAGACTTCCACCAAGACGACCTACGATCAATTCCTCTCTGTGACCAACACATAAACAGCCCTCCTCTGCAGATTAGTATCTAGTACCAAGTGGACACAACAGACTTCCACCAAGAAGACCTACGATCAATTCCTCTCTGCAACCAGCACAAATTAGCAGCCAAAACATATGATAAAAACTAGTTAGTAGTTTGCATCCAGTTATAAAAGATAATTAGTTATTAATTAACAAATAGACTTATGTGATAATACAGGCCTCTAATCATGACAACAGTATTTCACTCAGTACTTTTAGTACTGCAGATCATTATCGATATTTGGAAAAAAAAGAAGAGCTTTTTTTACCAAAAAATTCCTCATGGTTTTTGTATTAAAGTGAAACTATTAGCAAAAATCTTAATTCAGAGTTCCATTTAGGATTCTCTTATTCAAAAAGTTAATTTTCTTCCTCTTAATGTTTCTCTCAATAATAATAATAACAATTTTATTATCCATAAAAAATGATTCCCAGAAAGTTCTGAATGTATGATATTTAAGTATAAGCTCTTGAAAACTGCCAGCAAGTTTTCTGCATTTCTAAAACTTTGTGGTAAATTAAAACACTTTCTTTATAACAAACATGCTGAGGTACCAGTCCTTTGTCTGGGTTATGAACTTAAGAAAATGTGAGGGTAGATGCTATGATAAATAACACAAAAATTCTAATTTTCACACACCTTATATATAACACAACAAACTATTACAGTATTCATTATTACCTCACCAAATATTTTGTATAGGCTTTAAGAACTCACTATGAATAAACTTAAAACATGGTATACACTGTGAAGTGGTCAGGGTGACTTTGTAAGAGGTAGTGGCCAAAGTAGTGACAGTAGGGGGCTTTCTTTTACACACTTTCAACACCCAGCTCTTGATGTCCTTCTAGTGTTTCACATTATTAATTGACAGTCATTGGCCGCAGAAGTGTCTTATGCGGCAAAGGTATGTGGTCACAGGCCAAAGTAAAAAGTGGATATAACTCAAGAAACAGCACTTCATATCAGCCTTATGGCTGCTGTTGGAATAAAAACTTCATCCGAGTTTATGTATTATTGCAATAGTGGCGGTCATTTTTTCATTGAATTCCTTCATAAAGAGTGCTAGTGCTCTATCCGACACACACATTGTGTAAATGTTGTGTTATAAAAAATTTAATAAAGTCTTTTTCTTTTGTTGTAAGGACATGGTGCCATCTATGAATGTAGTTAAAGTCAACTTACGTCAATGATAATAAATGCTCAATAACAGCAATAATGGAGATGGAAGGGATTATGAACCCACCATTAACATGCCCCTTGTTCCAATGTATTATCCCACAAAATTTGGTTGAGATTGGCCCAGCAATCTAGTAGTTAGATAATAGACAGACAGACACAGGTTTTTGTGCTTTCTTGACTTTTATTTTGATAAGCTTCAGTATCCTCTAATGCACAAGTAAACTTTGTATTCTTGCACATACAAATTAAACAAATCTCATAGAAAGATGTGTGAAGGAATCAAACTATTCTATGTGCGAAGGTGAAGTATCATCTCGGAACAGAAAATCCATTGTCTGCAAAAACATGGAAGATGTTAAGAATAGGATTTATGAAGTTACAAAACATTGCAAAGAAATCATACACACAAAAGTAAGTTTTGTTTAAAACTATTAACATCCAGGTACTAGTCTAACCTATGGCTGCTTGCAATAGAGAAGATGCCCAAGAGGCTTACAGAGTTGGAGACTCTCTCATTAAGTATACTGATTACAGTGTTTTGCCAAGTGCTGAAGTAAAGGACATTATAGAGTGCACTAACAGTTTAGTTATTGATACTATGAAGCATTGTCTTTTTTTTTTTATTGTGCATATACACTGAGTGGTCACAAGTAAATAGACACCTAATTTTTTGTCACTTAACTGATTTATGCTAACTAATTTGTGTTCACAGAGCACTATATAAATGAAAATGGTCCACACACTAATTATCTTGTGCTACAACATGCCCAGAACTCAAGGTTCTCTTCAATTGTCAGATTTTGTTAGAGGAAGGATAGTTGGTTAAGCAGATGGTGGAATAAATCAGCAGCAAATTTCGCAGAATTAGGGAATCCCGCTTTTGACAGTCAACTGAGCACCGTGCGGGTCGTCCTGGTCCATCGGAGAGGACAAAAAGGACTGTCAAGAGGAGCA